CACGTGTTATGATGATAGTATCCTCTTACAGGAGTTTCCATCTGGCTTCGTTAAATCAGATAAGAGTATTATAATGTGCCAATAACGTTACATGCAACGATTACTTTATATGCACAAATCGAGGATATTCGACCACAAGCTTACTATAAAAATGACTTGAGAATACCAAATAGTAGTTACCATCACATTCAATACATCTAGTGTCGAGGTCTGGCGGAAATATTTTAATCATGTCGTTACTTTTTTTTTGCGCTATGTATACATTTATCGTTCTCTGTTACTACTATACATATAATTAATGCTTGTTTATACGTATCGTACTGTGAAAAATATCGGTCTGAGTTACGACTTTGAATAGTTTTATTAATTCTGACAATGCATTTTAACTCATCGTGCGTATTATATCTATAATTCTTATAAAAATAAGCAATATAAGTTTAATCGCATGATCTATCTTACTGAAAAGTTACTTTCCTAGCATGAAATTATATTGATACGAATCTTTATAACTGGTGTATTTCTTTAATTTGCCGTTATAAAAATTATGATTGCTTATTGTATTTATTTACAATTTTTTCTTTTGTCACTATATTTCAGCTTGGGAATATTATTTTTCAAGTATGCTGTATATGTATATGTACATATATCTCACTTTTAAAGCCAAGATTGTTACACGCGCGCACATGTATAATTTTTTTTTGTAATTTATTGAAAATTTGTGAGTCATGTGAAAATATGTAGCGCGAACTCTTGAAACAAACTGTTTACGAGAGGACAGAATCGCGTGCATGCAAATATAAAAAATTATGTATGTATTATGGATACATATATAATTATATATTTATATCAAACAAACAATTATAAATATTCAGATATATGTATAAGAAATGATTAAGTATATATGTATACTCTACCCGTACTGATATAATTAATTTATTTACAAAAAAGTTGTTCATTGCAGTGCACAATTTGTTAATCCTCCGTATGGCCAAAGTAATCCTGTTGCAATTGCTTTTTTATCTCTTCTATGACATCGGTGCTATTGGCTGTAACAAAATGATTGCGTAACAATATCATAAAATAATAATGTCATTATTTGATGCAATACACACCACAAAATGGACTTGTACCGGCTGTAGCCACGAAAAAACTTCCACGCTGATTGTACATTTCTGCTCTAATGCCCATTTCCGAACAAATGTTTTCATCACATGGTTCCGCAATTATTTGCAAAAAATGCCGATATGTCAAATTCCATTGGTGTGCCCAGAAACTGCAATTGCGCGCAGTAGCAGACGTTAAAGATTCTGTGAGATAGACGTAAGAACGTCCGTGACTACATATCGCTCGTTGCATCACTACAAGTGTAACAACAAATTTTTTTTACTTATTGTTAGTTCCAGTTAACTAGTTGATAATCATTGTGTACTAGCACTAGCTAGTTAATAGTCATTTTATACTAACCAGCCGTAGGAATTGGTAAGTAATTGAAATATGACGTTCGTACACAGCCAGGTTGCGTTTTACCACCGTTTGGGTAGAAATCAACATGACCTATTTACAGGATGGTATTAGGATTAAGAGATTAAATAAACGAGTTTCTTGGGAAATTATGATTCCAAAGTTATACGTTGTCGAGAAGAAGAAAAAAGTGTGCGCGATAAGCTATGGATGGATCAAGTTTCAATCAATAAGCTACCTATAGCTTCGGGTAAGCCAAGTCCCAGACTCGTGAGTAATTTGCCGTTTGTATGTATCACATCGACAAATGGTGCGTCATTTTTATGTAAATGAACAGATGTATCAGCCTTACGAAAACATGGCTGCGCCGGATCCAGACCGGTGATTCTCTGCACAGTCCATTTGTTTTGCCTTTTTTTCAGTTCTCTTGCAGCAAATCCGCAAATGTGAGCACCGAGACTATGTCCTATCAGATGTAAAGGACCCCAATTATTTACGCTCGGCTGCGCGATTGTAGCGTTCGTTACGTGTTCTATAAATCTTGGTGAACAAGTCGACATTAGAAAGCATTAGCAGACTAATCTATACATAAGCAATACAATCGTTCGAAAGCGTCGCGGCATTTAGAGCTTTCGAATTTATTGCATTGCCTGACAAATTACCAATTATCACATATACTTTTTTTGCGTACGCACTTTGATAATTGATATCCGACTATTCTGGTATTAACCGCTGCTTTGTAATAATTCCACGTATTACTGCCGGCGCTCCAATCTATTATCACCACGTTAACATCATCCTGTATACGATCATATAGGATTCCATAAAAAATGAGTGACTATTTAGAAAATGAAACTGCAATCGATGGACTCACCCATTCGAGTAATGCCTTTTCCATGTCCCTAATCCATGTTTCTTGGCCATGAGACAGAAAACCATGTACTATGACCACCGTCCTGCGTTCTATTTTAAAGTCTGTCCATTCTAAACCGAATTGTTCATCAAGCACTACTTGCACGCGGCGAGGTTGTTTCCTAGAGGACAGAAGAAATTGCACGTCCAAGGCGTCACTCCCATTAGGTTTACTTCTAAAGAACCACTCCAGAGTCGCCGCGACTGTCTTTCCCATTCCGAAACAGTCCACTTGTCGAGATTGTCGTGCATCTTGCGATGAATCGCTGAACAACTCGCTCGAGTTGTTTGCGCGAGTGGACAATGTATATGTAAAATTCGTCAGAGTCTCATTCGTCTCATTAAATAGAGGCAGAGTTGTGACGAACGTCGTTTCATTCAGTGCATGTTCAAAAGACTGAGTTACGTTTGTCAAATGCGGATGCCATAAGTGAAAACATTCTCCAATGGAAAAATGATACAAAATGGTGAACGTAAGAATGATTGTAAATACCATTGTGATCATCGACTAGCACATTGGCTTTTGATACGTTATCTTTTAACATACATGTATATATATATATGAAATACTTTATCATCCCATTTTGTTAGATAAGCCATGACGATTCGTACTTAATGAAAAAATTTTTAGATAAACTGTCCTCACTCTTATACAGTTAAAACAACATTGATTAAATAAAGATGAATTGGCTTTTAATAATATAATATATAAACGTTATCGAAAGTTAGAAACCGATATAATGTTGTAATATTTTTCATTTATTTAGAAAGAGTCAATATTTCTTTTTATTTTAACTGATAAAATAACAAGATAAGATGGAATAACAATTTAAATTTTATTTTTTAATTTGACTCATTATATAATTATATATATTAATGTTATTAATAACATTAATAACTAGTATTAATACAGGGTGCTCAATGATCTGGCTAATCAATTCGAGGATAATTCCAGACATTTTAGGTAAAAATCCTAATTTCTAGATCAATTAATTTTCATTAGTTGATTAATTTTCATTGATTCGCACATATATTATAATTTGTATTTAAGTTAAAATTTTATATGATGAATTAATTAAAACGTAAACAAATTTGGATTTGAAATAATATTATCTAATACTTTATAAGTAATAAAAGAATATTCAACACACAAAAGATGATTTCTCTGCTATATTCGATTTTAGACATTAAATCTAAGTTTTCTGTTAGTAACTTGTCTTATTGCATTTTTAAAGAAGGGCTTATATCTACTTTTCTTTTTATTAACATATCACAAACATCTTAAGAAATTATAAATTTATTAGCGCTTTATTGAATTATTATTAGGTGTTGGAATTAATTCGTAGCGTTTTTTAATGAAAGAATGTTATTTATTTCACATGAGCATTAAAAAATACATTAATGAAAGTACTTCCCATCACTTGTAAAACGCTACGAATTAATTCCAACACCTAATAGTTTAATTTTTTATCCACATATTTATTTTTAATTGTCATCTAAATTGTCATAAAATTCGTTATCGATATAGTTCTTGCGCAAGCGCAGAAAATACTTCAAATTTCTTTCTTTTGTCATGATCCGATTTTTTTTAATGAAAGAATGACAAAATTCCAGGTCAGTCCTAAAATGTAGGGATTTTTCAGGAATTTTTCAGAACATTAAATACATTAAATTTCAGGATAATTCAAGGATTTAAGGACATTCAAAGATCGGTAGATCTTCACTCTGTAATTAAAACTAATAACATAAAATATTTCCAACACGAGTATATGAACGTAATTATTATATGAATTTTATATCTATTTTCATAAAAATGTGTAAAAATTATATTTATACACACATGCATGCACATATACCGATCAAAAGTTTGAATCTGTATAAAACGGCTATAATAGCCGTTCTCACTAATTGAAGTAGCCCTACTTATGCAATATGATGACCTGTGCTCTTTTTTCACAATTGATTTGGATCCATTCTGAATATCAGAATCATGAAGGCATGAAATTATATTGAAAATTATAGTATCGGATTTTCGTAACATTCTCGCAGCCTTATGTTGTTTATATTAACCTTTAATATCTATGTTTTGACGAAATATAATTATAATTTTTTTTTACAAAGTATAATTGAAGATATATTTACGGTTTGGAACTCTTGCGCGATTTTCCGAATCAGCGCTTTTGTACTGATTAGTCAGTATCTTGCAATAAGTTTTTAGTTGATGTCTTACGAGTAATGTAGGTTGTAATTTCTATATTTATGTTACTCGGCATGCTATCAGGAAAATCATGTAGTGTGCCCAAACTTTTGACCGATACATATTGTATATGTATAATATATATACATATATTATTAAAGAAAAAACAAAGAAAAATGAATGAGTAATTTAATAAACAATTTGATTAGTAAATTATATTCAAATACATCTTTCATGTTTTAGAAAATATAGGAAAATTTCTTTAAAATTATTAAAATTATTATGAAATATAAAAGTCAACGTTAAATATTAACCTAAATCCAGAAACAATATTTTTATATACAGTGTATACTTGTACATACAGCCCTTATTGTTGTCAGGATTTATCTTTTTTTCTAAAGATAATTTGATGGAAAATGAAGACAAAAAATTGCGTTGTAATCATATATTATATTATTAATCATATATTAAGTTTTTGCTTCTTCCACTTCTGGAAGCGTTTCTCCTTCTTCTTTTGCTGCCATAAAATTTTAATATAAAATTATTTTTCATATTGATTACTTAAGAAAAAAATAAAACAATATTTACTTACTCGAGGTTGCTGAAACTGAGTCCGATTTGCACTACTTTGTGTACTGCCACCTTGGAAACTGCTAAAGTCTACTGATTTGTAATCGAATTTTTTTGATGGTAACAAACCCTGTTTCCTCAACATTTCCTCATTCACTTTTTTGTCACCTTTTTTCTTAGCTCTGTCATCACATTAAGAATTTTGTTATTACTACGCACAAATATATGTATTGTATTATTTTTTTTGAAACAAATAATTTACCTTATCGATTTAATTGTTACAGAATTTCTATTATCACTCTGGACTTGTGTAAGACTCTCTTGCAACTTCTGTTCTTTGATCACTTTCAGTGTTTTTTGTTTTGCTTTCTTGGACACATGTACAGTTTTACTATTTAAATGCGATGTCGATGTAGAAAAATCATTGCCGTCGTTCTTTTTTTGACTCTCATTTCCAGTATCCAATTTTCTCTTCTTTTGTCTACGTACTAAATTGAGAATACTATCGGACTTCTTTTTCTTTTTGAGTTGAACCTCCGCTTGTACATTTTTTTGAGATATTTGTTTAAAATGTTCATAAACTCTGTTTTTACTCTCGTTAATTTCAGTCTCGTTTACACATTCATTCTGGCTTTTCATAGTCAATCTCTTTTCTTCTTTTTCTGTTTCTTCTTTCTTTTGTTGTTCCTCTCGTTCTTTTGCTTCCTGATCCATTACCATTGGTATGACACATCTGTATCTCATAAACGGACTTATGAATATAATCTTTTTTTTATTCCCATTCTTACTACCTTTTGTTTCTTCGTCCTGAAATAAGTGTAACTCATTAACATCGCTCGCAATACTTTGGGAAATGATTTGGGATCCAAAAAGAAGGAAAAAAATATATAAACATAGGTTCAGAAATAAATCATTTCCGAATTATAATTACTTTTATGTTAAAAAAAATGTAACTTATTTTTTATAATTGCAATCATAATTTATTTTATAGTGTTTTAGCATAAACAACTACATTTTGGATTATTTTGATGTGAGGTATTCCTCTTTTTTTATCTTTTTTATTTTTAATTTTTTTTATTTTACCAGAGGGATGCCAAGCGGATTATGTCTCCACGTAGTGCATCCTAGATAACCCCAAAATAGTACGAAATATATTTATTTATGTTAAAACACAATAAAATCAATTATAATTGTAATTATGATGAAATAAATTACAATTTTTTTTAAATAAAAAATTGATTATAACTCGGAAACGATTTATTTCCGGATCTATGTTTATATAGCTTTTTTTCCTTCTGTTTGGATCCCAAATCACTTCCCGAAGTATTGCGGACGATTTTCTGGACACCCTGTATATCCAAAACACTTTCCTATCTATTAGGTGTTGGAATTAATTCGTAGCGTTTTACAAGTGATGGGAAGTACTTTCATTAATATATTTTTTAATGCTCATGTGAAATAAATAACATTCTTTCATTAAAAACGCTACGAATTAATTCCAACACCTAATATAATTATCATTTTCATTATTTCCTATCTATAATTATCTTATAGTTACTATCACTATCATTTTACCTCTGATATAACTGGTGAATCGAATATCGTTATAGTATGCTTGATGGTTTGACACTTGTTTGCCTCTGAGAGTTCTGATTTCACAATATTCTTGTTTAAAAGACATGGCAAATCTGCTCTTGCTTCTGTACCACTTGGTACATCATGCGGTATGTATAAGGAAGCTCCAGTATCCGTATGATTTTGTTGTGTCGGTCTCTGCCGAATGTCCTGTTCAGCAATAGATTTTACAAGCGGTTGCTCCCTAGCCTTCAGTACTATCTTGTGTATTTTCAGTAAGTTTTGTCGCACTAATGGCGGAATTGGATTACAACATGCTAGAATACCCTGCATTTCACGTGGCAGCGTCTCAGCTATATTGAGTAGCATGTGGTTCGGTAATATATAGCCAATACTGTCGTCCTCCTGCCTTGCCGTGAGATCTCGCCATCTGTGCAATTCTAAAAGCGCATATATCTGTTTATTGTTGAAAGACTTTTGACTCTTCCTGTACATGTTCATACAACTTTCCTCTGTCCAAATTGGTTTCACATACGTGCGCTTACAAATCTCAGTGCTTTGATCATACACAGCCTTCAAGATATTGCTTTTGCCATTAGCCGCATCAATCAATTCGTTTTTCAGCATGTCTTTTACATAAAGCAAGTAATGTGTATCTTCTCTCGCATATTTCATTAGTTCTAATGGTAAAGGCCGTATACGCCAGTCGGCTAATTGAAAATGTTTGTTGGGATCTATGCCACAATATTTGTTTAATAGATAAGCCAAACTGAGATAGGGTAGGTTGAGCTGTTTTGCAGCTTGATGGGTGTCAAACATGTTCACTACGTACAGCGACAAATCCCTTTGGAGCCACAAAATATCCATATCAGCACCATGAAAGACCTTCAAGATTGAAGGTTTTGTAAAAATCTCGTTCAGTTGATATAATTCTGATCGTAGGCTCAAAGTATCAATTAAGTAATCGGTTTGTATCGTTGATATTTGCATTAAACAAGTTATGCCCTGAAACGTTCTATAAGAGTGATGTTCCAAGTCCACAGCTATTTCTTTATGATTTCTCAGATCTTCTAGAAGAATGTTGATATCAGCTGGCTTATCAATGAATACAAAATTGGTATCATCCAACAACTTATATTCAACAGGTATTCTCTTCTTTAACTGACATTCCAGTGTTTCAAACTTATCTAGTTCAAATTCATAAGGGTGATTAAAGACTTCGCCATGTTCATCTTCTTCGACATGAAGAGCCAATGGCTTCAGAGAGTTTGGTTTATCCTTAATTCGAGGCATCCATGGCTTTGAACTATTATCAATTTTATCCTTAAACATCAACTGTGGTCTTTGTATATTTTTTCCACCCAACAATCGTACTTTCTCTGAATTATCTGAGACTTGGTTGGTCTTTATATTCCAAGTGCCATTCACAACTGGTTTTGGCATCTGTGATACAACCAATTCTACTTGAGGATTTCGTAGAATACCACTTTCTTCATCCATCAATATATTCTGTAATAGAGAACATAGAGAGCAAGAGAAATTATTAAGAAACTAAATTTATTTAAAAAATTCAAATTAATATCTAATTATAGGATGCTTACAGCTTGATCTAGTAGTTGATCATTCGTTTCCAATAAAAGATCGAACTTTTCATCGATATCTCGGTTTTGAATGTTACCAGAACCTCCTACTAATTTCATTATGCTCTTCATTGTAGCCAGTATTCTCTCCTTATCTTTCTGTCTGGCATCATTAAAGCTTGGAAAGCAAGCATAGTAATTGAAATTGTCTCCGGCAGGCAGATTATTAGCTGTTTTGATTCCAGTTCTCATCGTATCAAATGCATCCTGAAATACATATATTGCACTTTAGGACTAGAATCTTTTTTTACTGTTTTACTTGCCAAGATGTATGTATTTGCGTGGAAGATACGATCTTGGCGAGAAAACGTCAACATAAACAAGCATACTTGAATGTAATCTTCGAAAGTTGCATATCCAGGAATAAGACGGACCGACGGCCCATCTTTCTTTTCGACTTCTATGTCATCGTTTTGCGAGGCGTTCGCCTCATAATCCCAATTTTCAACAAGTTCTACATGATCCACATTTGCCATCTGCGCACTCGATTGTATCTCGAAATCATCTTCTCCTTCTGGAGCAACACGAGGTGGAGAGTCATCCATTATTCTTCGTTTCCAAGTTTTCTAACATTCATCTGATTTTGAGGTTATCGTTTATCATAAATCTATTTTCTATATCCTACACTAAACTGCACTAGAACTTTCTCTTTCTCGCTTTCAATAAATATCAAATATATATCTATCTCACTTTAAGTTCCATAAATGTACACATTCAGCCATAGAAAACAGATGACGGATGACGTAGTTCATTCTCGACTCTCGTTCTCGATTGGAGGAGATTGGTGGACCGGATCTCGTCGTTAGTACCATTAATCGCCACCGTCCCTGTGGCGCCGCAGACGTTTTGCGATCCAAACGTTCGACCGTTCCTGGCGTTTCGGTCGCACAGTGCACACGTCCAAAATTAGTAAATAAAGACGAGATGGCAGCGTTCGAGCCGTGCGCCGTGTCGTCGTCGCCCTCGTCGTCGTCCTCCTCCTCGATGTCTCGCGGAGAGTGTTCGGTAAAATGAAGTGGAAACACGCCGTACGTCTCGTGATTATCCAGAAAAGCTCGAGAAATTCGACCGTGTGACTGGCAAATGACAAAGGCTCGTTCCAAGAGTGTATGCGTGAGAAATTACAGTGCGGTTTCGCTCGCTGGTGGACGGTGCTTGCTCGAGGATCGCGAGGACGGACGGACAGACAGGCGGATGAAAGGGGAAAGAGAAAGAACGAGAGAGAGCAAGAGAGAGAGGGAATAATTCGCGCTCCAGAGTTCACACCGTAAGGTACGAATTCCCGCTATATTTAGTCGGCCCGCCGCGACCGGCGTGAACATGTATGCTAGAGTTATAAGAATTCTAGTGTGTGCGTGCGACGTGCGTGTACGTCTTCCTCGGCAATCCTCGGCCTCGACGATTCCCATTCAAAGCTTTTCGTCGTCGCTGTGGGCGACCGACGTCGACGTCCGCAACGAATTTATTATCCGTTGCGGTCAGAGAGAATACGAGAAAGAGAGAGAGAGGGGGGGGGGGGGGGGGGGGGAGGGAGAAAGAGGAATGATGTACGAAGAAACGAGCTAAAAAATTATGATAATTTGGTTCACGCAAATATCAGACCATCCGAGAATAATTAGAATATATCAGGAAAGGTAAAAGAGTAAGAGATATTGAAAAAAGGAGGAAAAAAATTAGAATAATTGAATAAACTAAATTTAAAGAGAAGGAAAGTAAAAAGTAATCATGGAGTAATTAATACTTCAGGAAGAGGATGATAACGAATTTCAGATAATTTTATGTGAAACGTTACGTCTTACAACATATAATGTTATTTCACAAAATTTTATTTGCCACTAATTCTCTTTGATATTCCATTTTCAGTTATTTCGGAATTACCTAGTATACTCGGTTGTCACCTGAAATACTCCAATATAGATACAACCGTTCAAGATGATTAGAAGGTACAGGATCTCTTGATATCGTGGGCGTCGTGAGGTTATCCAATGATAAAAGAGGCGCACATTCGTCATCGAGAGAGCAACACGGCGCGTGTACACATATACAAGTGCATTAGGTATATACATATACGGTACACGCGTATACGTAATCGCAAGCTCGATCCAACTGCTCCGTAAATGACTTATCAGAAGGGACTTTCTAGAGGTATTGGAACGCTATTTTTGTCGATACAAACCTACATACCGTGCAGCGATAGTGGCATATTCTAAGCACGTTTAATTTGACCTGATCAAATCAGATTCTTCGAATGACTCTTTGCTCTTGCACGTTTCATAAGAACCTCGAGGATACACGGTATTATAATATATCCTATCTCGGATCGTCTGAGTCCTGTTTTCCAATCGCATAATTTTCAGAATAGGATTCTTAAAACCGATGTATTCGTCAGTAGCTTTAAACTTCCATAATCGTCGATATAATTATCGAGTATTGTCGCGCGAATATTCGCGATGGGATTAATGAGAGCATTTTTCAATAAATACACTCGTCAACGGCCGATTTTCCACAGAGATCTGCATCTGAACTGTTTTTAATCGCATAGTTGAAAGTAAGTTGATAATATTTTAATGAATGGCAAGAGAACATCGATTCGCGAGTGCAGTGATGTCATACTTAAACGCATTACATCTTCGTAAATAACTAACCTTTACCCGAGAAAGAGAGAGAGAGAGAGAGAGAGAGAAAGTGCGATTGACCGTATTAAATAATAAATTCGCAATATAGTATGTCATTTATCTAGAGATTCTATAATAGAGTTTATGAGTGATTTTGTCAAAGCCTACGAGAGAGAAAGGCATATATTCTATCTCATTTATACTGTCTTATTTTATATCTTTAATTAAATTCTGTGTGAGATTCTGTCTAAAGATAGTATATTATATCCCTTTCTCTTTCTTAGGATTTAACAAAACTCGTAGCCTCTATTATAGAATCTCTAGATAAATGACTGATACGAATTTAACACGGTCAATCATATTTTCTCTCTCTCTCTCTCTCTCTCTCTCTCTCTCTCTCTCTTACAGAGCCAGAAAGACTAATAGAATTCGTGAATAGAATGTCGCACAATAATTAAAGCCAAAATATAACAAGAAATAATAAAGAAATGTAACATTTGCAAGTACACGATAAAGAGTAGATAATGCGAATACGTTTCTATGGAAACTATTTCGTAATATTTTATCCAAGTAGAATCGAATTGAAATAATGGGAGAGACAGTTGGACTAGACGGAGTCCAGAGTGATCAGATTGATGAGAGCTGAACTGATCGCGTGTAAAGAGACAAGAGTCGTTAGTTACGACTCAAGTCAGTTGGTCCTTGGAGATCACCGGCGAGAGCTTTGCCACCGCGGGTCTACATGCTCGCTAAAAATACCGTAACGCATCGAGTGAGCGACCGATTGGGAGTGTATCGAGAGCGGAGCAGCGGCTTCGCGCCTATTTTCATTGTCGATTTTTCCTAATCCAAGCGACATCAATGGCAACTTGTCCATATCGCATGTCACGAGTATGGTATAAACCAATATATTCCAAGTCCGCGATCGACAAGAGACTCGATCACGAGATCACGTAGCGTCACGACGTTGCTTTCTCAGTTTCATTCAGTTTTTACTCTCGGCAACAGTCGCCGTTGCTCACTGAACTCAAGGAGGTTGTAAGGGCATAAAACATATTAATATTTACGTTTTAAACAAACTATAATATATACATGTGAAAGTTGGGTTCATAACATTCTGTTTTTATTGAGCAATACATTTTTATAGATTATTTATTTTGTTTGTTATTTTTATTGTTATAAACAAAAATTTTAAAAATAATAAAGATCTAAATTTTTTTGTATAAATATTTTAAGTATTAAAAATGACTTGTACAAAGTTTCATTGAAATTTACCAATTATAACAAATAAATATTTTTTTTTATTTATTGAACAACTAATGTTTGCATCTCAATGTAACTTTACATAAATATTTTTGGATTCATAAAGTACGTATATAAAAAAAAATTTGGATTTTTATCATTATTTTATAATACATTTTTGTATATGTCTCTATTGGAGTACAAATTAAAAAAATATTACTTTTTATTGAAATAACTTTTTTCTAGATGATAAACTGTCTCGAATTTTTTTGTATTACTTTTAAATGCAATTTAGAATAATCTATAATTTTTTCAAGTAATCCTTGACATATTGCATTTGCCTTACAACCTCCTTAAGCGCACTCGTCAGCCGTTCGCCATCACGCGAGACGATGCATTAATAGCCAAGCGACGAGGCTCTCGTCGCGTCGTCTGCCGTCTCGGACAAACCGTCCGTCAAAAAACTTGATAGGATTATCTTCCTTCGGGTCTTATCTTCCAAGAGCAATGGCTAGGTATACGCAACGAGATACCGTCGTTCAATGTTAATTGCATCAATATCACAAATTTGTTTTTGTTTCTTAAAACATATACGACGAATCTTTTATCTTTAGTATCGCAATCATTATTCGAAAGCTGTTGATATTTCGACCGAATTTTTGATCAATGCGATTAATCCTCCCCGACAAGATAAAATTCAAGAGCTTTGGAAATTTACTATACTTACATGCGTGATTTATGCGATGATTTATTGGTGAACCAACGTCGAATCTTGACGAAACTAGCGTAATTTATACGAGTGCTTAACTATTTTGGCGACAAAAAATTTCTCGCGAAAAATTCTAAGAATTGGCTTATCGTTTGTACCGGTAAGAATAATATCTCTTTATCGTTTGAAAATAAAATTAATGGTTTTGGAACAGTGACGTAAGTCACGTATATACAGGTAAATTACTTGAGAGAAACGAGACTAGAATTTAGAATTAGTTCTGAGATCTTGTTAATACATATTACATATCAACCAAACTGATCAACAATGTGCTATATACACATTGTATTGTGATACTTTCGTTTTAATAGATTACAGTCTAATAAATATATAATCTGAGGATCTGTTTGAGAAAAATGTCATCTTATTTTCACTTGATTTTGTATCTTTTGCAGTATAATATGTAATAACCTTATCATATAGCGTGGACTGAAACTGCTTTTGCTATTTTTAATTTACATTTTACTATTATATATCTATATTATAATTTATTTTTTAATATATTTTAATTTATTTTATCCTATTATCACAAATTCCCTTGTATTCACAAATCCTCAGCGTATTCACTAAATATATTGATTGCATCAGCATGTAATTCTTACTATTCGCATTCGTACGATTGATTAAAAATATAGATCGACAATATTGTGCACAGTTAAGATAGGTGTTACGGTAAAACACTAATCTGAAGAGTTTTTCTGAAGAATTTACGAATGTAGAATTTAGTGACGAGGAATCTTTTTGGTACGTATAGGGAGGACAAGGAGACAGTGCAGAGAAGAAATCCACCGACGATGGGTCGGCACATACACTGGCGTCTTGATGCCCGAAATAAACTTACCACATTCTCCCTCTCTCTCTCTTCTTCTTCATCTCTTCGCTTTCGCTTTCTTCATTTCTTAATGCAAGACTCAGATGGCTATAGCTATCCTTTGCCGCTGTCATTCTCGTTTATGAGAGAGTAGGACCACGCCGACAGTTTGCCTGGAAGATAGGAAGCAAC